GTATTCGATATTCCCCTTTGTGATTAAGTTATCTATCTCTAAAAGTTCTTTGCGATCGTAATGACAAAGTAAAATGTAATACAATTTGACTTGAACTTTGTGAATTGTGAGATAGTGGTTTAATCTGCATGCAAACATTTTTCTCTAAGACCAGAAGTAGACGACACACCCGATGGAATCCAAGAGCTATAAGCGATGTAAGTACTTATCAACGGTAAACCTTTAAGCCTATAAAGCATAAAGAAGGTTTCGAACCGAGGTCATGTGACCCGACCTAATGTCGAAGCACCTGGACCCGTATTCTGAAACTCGCCACAAAACAAAGTGCTGACATCAATCAGTCAACCCAACCACGAGGATCAATCAAACTATATATCAAGATAAACAAAAGTAAAGGTAAAATATGAACATCGAAAACGATGGTTACTCTCCCCCTGGCTATAGTTACTAATTCGTAATTAAAAACCATCATTTTAATTTAATATCTTAAATTTACACATTTAACTTTTGTTATATTTTCTAACGTTTTTGCTTTTAATTTTCTTATGTTTTGCTAATATATTCTAACTATTTTAAGCTGACTTGTTTTTTCATCTTTACATTATGAGTTATGATTTTTATAACTCTTACTTTATTAAATTTTAGTTCTAACATCAAGAAACTATTGGTAATTGCTATATACACATTATGTGTGACGTTTTTTTTCTTTAAGGAAGAAGAATAAAATTAACCACCGACATTTAACCGCAAATTTATGCTGGCTCAGAAAGATAAGGATCAAGCTTTAATGTTTACTGTTTAGGTAAAGATTTGAGAAATTCTAATGTTATAAGAAAATATTTGGATTATTGTTCGGTGTAAAGAGATTAAAGTTAGAAAAAGATGATGAGTTGAGAACATCGTGTATATACAGTATATGAAGTTTGAAGCTCCAAAAACCCGGCTCTTATCGGTGGATTCTTAAAAAGAAATATCTAGCTATCTATATAGAGTTAGTTTTTTTCATTTCTTCGTTCGCCACATCATCCGCCACGTTACACAAGCACCAAACCGTGAAATGAAGTCGCACATAAACAAGAAAAAAGCTCTCTAGTCTGTAGGATTATTCTTTTATGTCTCTGCTCTCTTGGTTTTTTAGGACGTGCCCAACACCTCTATATATAACAAACATGATTCTCAAATCACATAAGAGAGCTTTTCCAAATCTCATAAGGAAAAACCTTTTTCCTTTTTGCTATGTTCCATTCACTGTGGGAAGTCTTTATGGTCCGTGCGTTAAAAGAACATTCAGACAAAATGGCGAAAATGAAGATAAAGTAGAAGCTGGTAATAGTTGGCAACATCTTTTTGTAGTACCTGAGAAAACAAACAGTAATGTTCTCATTAGTGATCAAATCTAAACCATAGTTAGATTTATTAAAAATAACTCATATTTCCATAAGTCGTCAGTACAACTTTACGAAGCCTATAGCAACCGAACCATATATAGTTCGAACCATAGTTATACTGATTTTCTGATGTTAATTATTATATATTCTTGAAGTAAGCTGGAAATATCTGGTGATAGTGATATAATATATATAACTAATAAGAAGTTAATAATTTAACCGGAAAAAGAAACTAATAACATAATTGAAGAATGAAACATGATTGTCTAACATAATAATTTAAAGAAGAGTTAGACAAACTTAGTGTTATGAGGAAGAGGGGCAATTGTGTTAGAGATGGAGAAGCTCTCAAGTTTGAAGTGTGAGGGGCTTGTGTTGAAGATGGCAAAGAGGTTATCGAGTGTGAGGGGCTTGTATTGAAGATGGCGAAGAGGTTATCAAGTCTGAAGTGTGTGTAGATGATATTGATAGCGAATATGCTCTTAAGTCTGAAGTGTGTGTAGTGTTAGCTCTTATACTTAACTCTGTGGGATATCATTTTGTTTCTCTAAGACCAAAAGTAAACGGCACACCTTGTGGGAATCCTAGAGCTATTAGCGAGGAAAAGTACATACCAACGGTAAACCTTGAAGCCTCTAAGGCAGAACGAAGGATTCCAAAACCAGGCAAATATGTTTTCATCAAAATCGTCATCGAGTATTTGTCCTAGAGTCGACCCAAATACATTTTGGTGGATCCCAAATAGGATCCATCTAGCTCACGCAGCTGTGACATGAAAAATATGGATAAAAATTCCTGTCATTTTCCTGTGGGTGAATATTTTTTTAGCAGTAATTAATTGTGTTGGTACCACTAGGAGAACGCGTGCAAAAATATTGCAATTCTGGTAAACGGCAGCTGTGTTACCAAAGATTAAATTGACGGTCTCATAAAGGTCACAATAGCAGTAAAACTGGAGGTTGGAGTAAGCATATAGAGTATCTTGATATCCTTCAATACTGCATCGGTAGAAGACATATTGATCCAACATGGATAGTACAACAATCGCTTATCCCTCGTCTACCGTGGTTCGGTTCAGACCGGCCTCCGTCATCATCGCATACCGTTTGTTTGAAGGGATAACCAGATGTTCCACATAACATATTTTCATTGTTGTTATCAAGAGCAACTGACCGCATCACTTATTTTGCTGAAGTTTCCATTTCCGTCCTTGCTAACGGTCATTGTGGCAGCTATCTTAATTACTAGTAATTAAACCCATCATTTTGATTTAATATCTCAAATTTACACATTTAATTTTTGTTATATTTTCTTACGGTTTTGCTTTTAACTTTCTTATGTTTTGCTTATATTTTAACTATTTTTTGCTGACTTGTTTTTCATCATTACATACTAAGTTATGATATTTCTAACACTTAGTTTATTAAATTTTAGCAATTGGCTAAATGATAATGAAATTTCACTGTTAATCAGTCAAATTATATATATTGTGAAAGTTATTTACAAATTTAATACTTAAAAAATTGCACAAAAAGAAATAAAATTAAATATGGGAAATCACTTGACCTAATGGGCTATATGATTTTTAAATATAATGGCTCTATAACCTGAAAACCAATAATTTCATATTAAAATATTATAATATCTGAAACTTTTTAAAAGTTTTATTTAGCTTAAATAAAAACTTGAATAAACCAAATAAAACTTTTAAATTTGCACGACTGGGAAGTCAAACTTTATGCTCATTCATAGTTAGAAAGATATAGTCATACTTTTACAGGTTCTGACCTATTGTAAAAAAACTATCTCGATGTGAGACATCGCACATATGCAAAAATAATTTGTACATATACCAAAATTTTCATTTTCGATTTGATAGGGTATTTATTGACCTTTAGCCAAAGTTTCCAAAAACAAATTTTGATTTTAATGGGATGATTTAATGCATTTGTAATAAATTCATAGAGCATTATATTTTCTCTAAAATCCGTGCAAAAATTATAATATCTCCTATATATTAAAAGAGACGTACTGTACATTTGTGTTTCAAGTTGGGTCAATTTAAAATTTTTAACCCGAATTCTTAAATTGGATCTTTGACATAAATGTTTATTTTCATATTAAATATCATTACATATATTTAGGTAACTATAATTATATTATTTCTGTATCTAGTTTTGGATTTCCTAATATTTTTCTAAATAATTAAAGTAGTATATTAAAAACAATAATTATTCTCATTTCATATTTATGTGATCTTATTTTTAATTTATTATATTACAATATATAAAACACATGTATAATAAAATTTCAACATTATTTTTTACATATGTTGCAATTTTAATTTTCCAGAACGGACATATATTACTCGATTGACAAAAAAGTGTATGTGTAACGCGGTTAATTTTTTTTTTCAAGTCTATTTTTTAATATCAAAATTTATTTTTTGAATTTAGAATTTTAAATATTCATTTTGATTTATTTTTTCTTTTCAAACTGAATTTAAGCATAAAATATTCCTCATATTATATTTCCTAAATCGCTAGATTTACTAAGAGTATACTCCATAAGTTTTTAAATTAAAAAAGTTATATAAGTAAATCAATATTACGATTGTTATCATAGGAAAATTTGAATTGATGTTGTAACATCTATTTCAAATTTAAAAGCTAATTATTCACCTATACTATAGGGAATTAACTTTTCTCATTTTTAGTTATACTCATTTTTATGTCATGATTCAATTATATTTATTTAATTATACTTCTATTTTTCAATTATTACTCATTTTTCATGATTCTTTTAAAAATACATGGGTCTTTACGGATTGGTTCTTTTATACACGTTATTTTATTTGTTTTACTTAAATGTTGTATTTCATTTCCGAATACACACTTTTCCAAAATAAATGAAACAAAATATACATTTCGATATAAAATTATTGATACTAAAATAAACAAAATAAATAACACATACGATAACATACGTTAAAAATAAAATAAATCCGAAAATATTTCCCCGTGCTGTAGGGCGGGTCCAAACCTATTAGTAGATTATAAAGCATATTATTTCCTCTGTTTCACCAAGAATATCATTTTAACATCTTTCATACAAATTAAGAAAAACTTGAACCGTACATGTTTATCCCTATTTAATAGGTAGTTAACGATTTAAATTCAATAAAATGAGCATTGCGTTTAGGATAAATTAGAGAATTTAGTTTAGAAAACATAAAAAAAAATTAGATAGCCACTCTTTGTGAAACAAATTTTTTTTTCTCTAGAATGACACTCTTTGTGAAACTGTGGGAGTATAACATTTTCTTCCAAATATAGGTTTATTAGATTCACTTTCAATATTGCTTACAATGTAAATTTTGATATTATTAAAGATATTATTACCAAAATTCAAAGTAAAATTATATTTACATATTTAGTGGTGGAGAATACTAGTAATTTGTATATTAACATGCCAATTTTGTAATGTTTGGTATTTGTTTGTATTATAGGCAAAAAGAAATTTGTCCAAATATATAAATATATGCAAAAAGAAAAAAAAAATCTATAAAACCCACCTTGAAAACTCGATCACTTTATGTCCCTTCGGAGAACTCTCTCTCCCTCAACAATCATATCTTTATCAGATCAAGTCTCTCATCTCTAGTTTCTAAAAAATATACATCAAAGTATGAATATTTGTAGAACAGAATCCACAAACTGTAAAACCCTAAAGCAGAAAGAAGAAGTGGAAGAAGTCAAGAAGAAGACTGAAACAGAAATAAGGAGAGGTCCATGGACAGTGGATGAAGACACAAAGCTCATCACTTACATTTCTCTTCATGGTGAAGGAAGATGGAACTCTCTCTCTCATTCTGCTGGTAAAACTTCTTATTAAGCCTTTTGCATACGTTTTATATCATATATTAGAATATGATCATGCATGATATACATAGGTATACCAAATCATTATATGTATGTTCTTAACTTAATCATCCTTAGAGTTATTGTCTCAATTGGTTTTCTCAACTGTATAGCTCCCCCCAAGAGATATTAGATTGTGTATATAACTGATTTGAATGATTAAACTTTGCTATTGAAAGACTCTTCATATACTTTTCAAACAAGTAGTCTTTTCTTATTGAAGTAATAATCTTATAATAACCTGAAAATTTAAAAGACTAGATTTAAAAAGGGCTTCGTTGCAAACTCTTTCTCTTCTTATCAAAATGTTATAGAAATACATAAAAGTATATGATTTTGCGTAACTATGATAATACTTTTCTTATGGCTGTTACTTCTCCATGTCGGTAAAGTAAACAAAGAACAAGTTGACATCTTCATAGTTCATTATTATCATTAGAAATGTACTTTCGTATGAAACAGATTGGTCGGTCCAAATTTATTTTATTTTTTTCCTTTGGAGTTCTTTTTCAGTACTAGCTAGCCTTTTTTGAGTGTGGAACTCAAACACCTTTCACAACCATCCAATACGATAAAGCCTCTCATTACAATCGTTATCTTCATTGATTTTGAGATATTGTAATAGTATCAATATAATATTGTCTATTTCACGTTTTTAGTTATTTATTTATTAGAATACAATTTACTTTTGAGACAGGACTGAACAGAACGGGAAAGAGTTGTAGACTACGGTGGCTGAATTATCTCCGTCCGGACATCCGCCGTGGCGACATATCTCTCGAAGAACAATTCATCATACTTGAACTCCATTCTCGTTGGGGAAATCGGTATGTATCTAAACCATTATTTATGTTATAGATAATACATTATTTATATAAGATAAAATAGAATTAAGAAAATTAATAACAGAAAGTGAAAGATACATTGAAGAAAGCAAATTTAGAACGTCTCTATGGAAAATAAGTAATTCAATATTCAATTATTGGAGAATTGACAAATCAATTCTTTGAAATTTCTTTGTTGAATTGTGATATTAATTTTTTTTTTTAACAGCTGCATTTAATTTCTCATTGAGATCCTCATGGAGAATTGTGTTATTAATTATACGAAAAATGTGAATCATATTTGTTATTAACATAAGAAAATTCAAAGGTCTTTTTTTTATCAATGTATAAAAGGAAAAAATAATGTTACACCTTTAAATCATTTGTTTATTTAACAATTCTTGTATTCATATAATAGAAATTTTTATTTTTATTTATATTGAAGGTGGTCAAAGATAGCTCAACAATTACCAGGAAGAACTGATAACGAGATAAAGAATTATTGGAGAACACGTGTTCAAAAACATGCAAAACTTTTGAAATGTGACGTGAACAGCAAGCAATTCAAAGACCTAATCAAACATTACTGGATGCCTCGTCTCGTCGAGAGGATCGCCACCGCTCAAGTCGTCGAATCTGTCCCTAACCACCACTCGGGCGCGGCGACTGCTGGCGCCGCGTCATCTACGTCGTCGTCTGAGTCCTCCGTGAGATCGAGTTTCTACGGTGGTGATCAAGTGGAATATGGAACGTTGGATCATATGACAAATGGTAGTGATTGGTTCAACGGCGGAGATGCGTTGGAGACTTTGTGGAGTGTTGACGAGCTCAACAACTGGCTCTTACAGTAGCAATATTTCATGTGATGATTAGTTAAATTAATTATATAAAGATAAAATAGTTTTGTAATTCATCACTTGAGAACTTATGAAAATATATAATTCGTTTCGAAATTTCTAGTTTGTAGGCCATATGTTCCTATTTGGCTAACCAATACTATAGTTTAATTTCATAAAAGAATCAATATTAATTTAGTTTACTGTATATAATCATTAATGGAATTTGAGCTGGTAACTTCGAATATTTTAAAGTTTAAACTAAAAGAAAAGGACGTACGTGAATGATGTCTCTGTTTCCTAATCATGATGATTAGAATATATAATTATAATATATAGCATAATCCAACTCATGTAACACTATATCAAGATTAATATACGTCTAGAAGGGACGAACCCAATTAAACTAGTCTAGTTGATTTTTAAAACCAAAACAATTTCTCAGTGTATTTTTTCCACTACGTCGAGTATAATTTTTGGATCACACACAGATTCACCAGAACTGGCAGAACCCTAATTTTTTAATCAAAATATATTATTTGTTTCATTTGTTCTAAATGGAACAATACGTATAATCAAAATATTGTCTTTTGGCAAAAAATTCGAAGTAAAGTACGAAAAAAATGAATTGGCATCACAAGAATTTTTGTAAGATTTGGAAATACTTTCTTTTCACACACGAACATCTTGCTTTCTTGGGTTATTATATGATACTATGATAAAATCATTTGGTTTTGGCTTTGATAACTCTTATTATATATAATGATGTTGATTGTTTGAGAACATATGAGAATTGTTTAATATAGTATAGATTTAGATGATAAATGATAATGATAATGATAACAATTTAGTTGTATGCGAATTATATATGAAGACGTGTGCGTGTGAACGTTTAACACGAGTAAGTTGTTGTTTCCTTTAGGAAAGAAAAAAGTGGCAATGGCGGCTGTTAAGAGAAGAAGGTGGCGCATGACAATCAAAAGTCCAAAGTGGTCCTTAAACTTGTAGACACATGATGTGTGGCTCCATATGTCACGTGTCCTTTCCAATTCCTTGATCAATTTATCTTCTTCGATTATTGGTTTCCCTAGTAACATTTTCATCATTCACACATATATGAACTCCGTTCTCGTTTGGGTACATTGATTGATCAATTGAAAGTGTTAGGAGTATTACTTATTAGTTTGGAACTTTGGATAAAATACATATCGTGACGTTTTAGTTTTAGATTGAGGTTTTCAAATAAGGAGAGTTGATCAAATGGAGGAGCCGATGAGATGGATTAAAGTACAACAAATCATATATATAAAATTAAGGTTATACTCTCTATTTATTTGTGTAAAAATATTTAATGTTTTAATTTAAATAAAATAAAAATATCCAGAGTTGTAATCTCCTTATTGGATATGGACATTATGTTGTAACTTTATCAAAACGATGGAAGCCACAGTAGCACACCTTTGCAAATCCATACTCAACCTCAGGTTGAGAAGGATATTAAATGGCCTGAGCATGGAGGAAGTTACTCTCAGCTTCATCCATGAGAATAGCATGAGCATTGATCAAGCTACTCTCAGCTCCATCCATAAGAATCAAAGCTTCTCTTTCCTTGTTTTCACTGTCATCATACATATCATACTGGTCTGAGGAGTCAGGCTGAGAATAGCTATAATCATGGCCCATCTTTGATTCAGCCTCACAAAACAGCAACAAAACTCTTATTATACATTCACAATACAAGTTAAGAATAAAATCAAGTTCAGAATGATATCAAGTTCAGAATGAAATCAAGTTCATAATGAAAGCAAGTTCAAAATCAAAACCAAGGTTCACAATACAATCAAGCAAACAACATTTAAGGTACACAATCACAAAAAGAATTCAATGAATCACCAAGCAAACAACATTTCATATATGTGATATCTAACAAAAGCCAAGTACATTTTCATAGAACATAGAAACATAACCAAACACACTTAATCAGAGAATGTAAACTTAAATACTAAAGATACTAAGACAAGAAATCTCAGAAATACTTAGCCACTATCTTAAGCTTGATAACTTCGTCACTTTTACTAAGATCATCATTATCACCACATTCGATCGGGCCTTGGGGCATTTTAATAAGCCCAATTAATTCAAACAGTGTAAACGTAAGGTCCATCCGCTTCTTCTCCAACAAGCGTTGGACTTCGAATCTTAGGCCACGTGGCGCGGTGGGAGTGGGTTAAAATTAATGATTTTTGTAAACGTTTATTATTTTGTCTTTTGTCAAAAGAAGAAAAAATCCCCAAATCGTTTTTCTTCCTCTTTCGTTCGAACCCTAGTTTCATTGACCATGGCAACGATTTTTGATCTCTTGTCTGGCAAAAGAGACGATTGAAACAACGAAAGGATTGAGAGATCTAGAGAGGACCATCTTTCTCTGTCATACAATAACGATTGAGGGGAGGAAATCGTTTTCTTCTCCGGGAGATCTCACCGTCGATTAATCCTCCGTCTTTGTCCATCCTCCGTCTTTGTCCATCCTCCGTCTTTGTCCATCCTCCTCCGCGTCTGTGGATCTCGGCCTTTTCCTCCTCCGCGTCTATTAATCCTCCGTCTTTGTCCATCCTCCTCAGGTACAAGTCTCTTCTCAGTCTTGTTCTTCTTTTCTTCAGTTTCTTCTTTGGTTTAATTCACCCTGTGTGTAAATTTTACTATTGTTGATTCACAATTAATTAGCGTTTGATAATTGGTTCTCTCTAGTTCGTTATTGTAAAAGCTTTTCACAATTAAGGTTTTTATCGTTTGATTTGTTGTTTAAAGTCGAGTGTAAACAGCATCTGTCTTTTTCTGATATTTAGTTTACGGTTTAATTAGATGGCATTCGAATTTTCTGTTGTATTTGTAACATTAAGTTGTGAGTTGTACAAGTAATCAGTGCTAAGGTTTTGATCTGTTGTTTACAAGTGGTTTGATAGAGGATTTGTATGATTTATATGTTTTCTCGGTATGATATTTTGTTTGGGAGTCCGTTCTGAGGAGAATGTTGGTGATGTTTGTATGTTTTCTACATGATTTGTATGTTTTCTCGGCATTAAGGTTTGATAGAGGATTTGTATGTTTTGTCGGTATGATCTTTTGTTTGGGAGTCCTATCTGAGTTATATTTCCAACTCGATGTAGGTTTACTGAGTTAACTATATGAAATATATGTTTAAGAAATGATATGTTTAACCTTAATGCATTTGATACAAGTGTTTAGATGATCCTTAACTATTTGTTGTTTTCTTTGTTTATGAGGATCGAAGTTTAGGATAGCCTGGATAACTCAAGCGGATTCATACAGCACATTTGACTCCTTCCTTAGAGGTATGTGACTCAATCGTTTTAGTTCATAAGTAATGTATTTCATGATCTTGAATGCGAGCTTGATGAACTGTAAAAGAGTTGTGAATTGAAGTATGTATTGAAGTATGGTGTCTTGGGATAAATTGTTGTTGTATATTGATCTGAATCCTTAGGTCATATATCTGAGCTTTGTTTATTATTGCTTTGAAGTAAACCGTCTGTGGAGCTTTCTGAGATTTGTTTATATAATAGCTTTCAAACCTGAAATTGAACTATGCTTGCAACCTGAAATTGAACTATGCTTGCATAAATTGTCTTATATATAGAAGATCCATCTGAATGGTGGTTAGTGAACTAAGAAATTGTCTCTTATATATTGTTCTGACATAAGTAATTGCCTTTTATAGTTTAGAATTGATCTAGTTAGAAGAAAATTAAAATTTACACTTAAAACTTAACTATCTTCTTTATTGTTCACTGTTAAGAATTAGAAACCATTGTTAATGGTTGAGTACTATTTCCTACATTAATATTTGAATGGTGATTTGATTGAAGTAGGTAATTCATTGCTTTAACTTTTCTGTAATAACTCTACAAAGTCTCTTTATGAACTTTGTTGTAATTAACTCCTTCCATCTACCTTCTTCTTTGATCCTTCTGTTTTGCTTATTCTTTCATCCTTCTGTTTTGCTTCTTCTATGATCCTTCTGTTTTGCTTCTTCTTTTATCCATCTGTTTTGCTTCTTCTTTGACCTTTGATCCTTCTGTTTTGCTTCTTCTTTGACCTTCTGTTTTGCTTCTTCTTTGATCCTTCTGTTTTGCTTCTTCTTTGACCTTCTGTTTTGCTTCTTCTTTGACATTCTGTTTTCCTTCTTCTTCCACCTTCTGTTTTGCTTGGACTTTGATACATATGTTCTTCTTCGACTTTGAGACGTCTGTTTTGCTACTTCTTTCAACCTTTCTGTTTTGCTTCTTCTTTCATCCTTATGTTTTTCTTCTTCTTTGACATTCTGTTTTGCTTCTTCTTTGACCTTCTGTTTTGCTTCTTCTTTGACATATGTTTTGCTACTTCTTTCAACCTTTCTTTTTGCTTCTTTTTAAAACAAACTTTGACAATGGATTCAAACAATCCGTATGGGGGTTCACCTGGGTACTTTAGCTTAAACAATTTCCCTTATGACAACTTCTCCCAAAATGTCAACTTTGGCCCTACTGCTCCCACCCAATTCGCAACCAACCATCTCAAGGAAGCCAAAACCCTTCTCGTAGCCAAAACCCTTCTCAAGCCACCCCAAATGCTAATAGGGAGAGAAGGCAATGGAACTCCTCAGATGATCTAGTGTTGATTAGTGGGTGGCTAAACACATCAAAGGATGTGATTGTGGGCAATGACCAAAGGTCAGACACCTTTTGGCAAAGGATTTATGAGTATTATGGAGCTAGTCAGCATGTGTTGAATGGTGCAGAACGAAGACTGCCTGATCATTGCAAGCAGATATGGGGAAGAATAAGGAAAGAGGTTAGCCACTTCTGTGGAGCTTATGGTACTGCTGAGGCTGAAAAAGCAAGTGGCATGAATGATGTAGACGTTCTCAAGAATGCTCATACAATCTACATGTCACTTTACAAGAAGAAGTTTGGTCTCGAGCATGCATGGGTGGAGTTGAGACAGGAACAGAAATGGTGTAGTCTAGGTGTTATGAACCCTACTAGCAACACATCAAGCAAGAGAAGGAGAGGTGAGGATGCTCCAGCATCTTGTGGTTCGATTGCAAATGAAACAGAGAGCATGCTCGAAGGAGTTAAGGCTATGAAAGGTAAAAGGTTTAGGGGAAAAGATAAAGCACCACCTGCCAAAGACTATCCTCAGTTGTGGGAGAACAAAGAGAAGGATACCGAGACCAAGTTAAAACTCCAAAAGCTGGCAATTCTTGACACTCTAATTGCCAAGACCCAGCCATTGGATGAAGATGAACTTGCTCTGAAGAAAAAGCTCATGGCAGAGCTTTTCTAAGTAGCTAAATTAGGTTTCATGAACCATGTCTAATAACATGTCTTGTTTAATATCTATTCTAAGTACTTCTGTGTAATGAATCAGTTGTGTTTTCTTTTTAATGAATCTGTTGTGAAATATGTTTAATGAATCAGTTGTGGTTTTTGTGTAATGAATGAAATGTATCTTCTGTTTAATGAATCATACAAGTTTTAGGTGTATTCAACAAGTTGTGTAATGAGTCTGTTGTGCTATTTGTTCTGTGTTTGGATAGGATTGTATTAGTTCTATTAATCAAAATGAGATCCGAGAAGGTGATAATTAACTTGTGTATTGATCAGTATTGCTAAGTCATTCTGTTTTGCTGAGTCACTCTGTATTGCTAAGTCTTTATAGCTTAGTCATTCTACATAGCCTAGTGAATGTATATATCTTGTTTAATTTGGTTGGTTTCTGGACTCATGTCATCTTCCTGACTATTTGATTTGAACATGTTGGTTTCTGGAATCAAGTATGGTTGGTTTAATCTTGTTGGTTTCTGGTCATCTTCCTGTCTACTTGACAAGTACTTGTTGGTTTCTGGAATACTACTTCTTGGTTTCTGGAATAAAGTATGCTTGGTTTCATATGATGCTGTTTGTGATACACGGATCTGATCTAATGTTGTGTTTTCTTTTTAATGAATCAGTTGTGTTTTCATTATAGCTTACTCATTGTGTACTTGCTTTGAAGTTGTTGGTTTGTAGAATCAACTCAACTTGGTTTGGTTTATGGTCTGTTTGGTTTCTGGTCTATACACAACTCAACAATATATGTTTGGTTTCTGGTCATCTACCTGTCTCCTTGCTTTGAAGTTGTCACTCTGTATTGCTAATTCATTATAGCTTACTCATTGTGTATAGCCTATTGACTGTATATAACTTGGTTAAAGTCTGTTTGGTTTAATCTTGTTGGTTTCTGGTCATCTTCCTCTTTACAAGTGTGATACACGGATCTGATCTAATGTTTCTTGTCTGAATTGAATAATCTTATCTGATGTATGATGATATGTGTATCAGTTGATAAGATGTCTATTTCATACTTGATATAGACATGTATGTTTAATGTTCATATCTTCTTTCTTACTTATGTTAGTCTGTTTTCAGGTGAAGCTATCAATGGGGCAAGATTATTCTTACTCTTGGGATTCATCAAACGAGCAAAGTCACCACTACACAGAGGACATTGTAGACATGGAGATTGAAGCATACATATTGATGGATGAAGGTCATAGTGCATATAACATGGTGGATAGAACTGAACCAGAGATTGAGGTTGGCTTCCCCAACCTCTGTTATTGTGGTGGGCAGCCTCTACTGAAGACATCTTACACCCGTAATGATCCAAGGAGAAAGTATGTGTCTGTTTATGATTTATGTTTCTAATTACATCTTACTTATGAGAGTTTCCAATAATTGAATGGTTTTGTGTTTCCTAGGTACTTCACGTGCGAGAATGTTGGTGATGGAAATATGCATTTCCACAAGTGGTGGGATGTTGCTGTGATAGAAGAGATGACTGAAAGGTCCAGAGTTGTAGTAGTGGACCTTAAAGAGATGATAGAACAAGAAGGGAAAAGTGAGGAGAAAGTTGTTAAACTTCAAAAGCTAGTAGAGAAGTTGGGAGATGAGTTGCAGAGGAATAGAGTCACATTAAGAATGGTTTTTGGTGTCAGCTTTTGTGTTTTGGCCCTTTTGATTTCAATAGTTGGTTTAAGTAGGATGTGAATTGTATTCTGGCAAAGACTTTTGAGACTTGTTTGATGCTCCCTTGCACTATAGATGGTAAGAAGAGTCTTGTTGCAATGAATCGATTGTTGTAACTTTTTCAGTCACATGAAATTGTATTCTTTTGATAATTGAAAGTGAAGGAATCGATTATTGCAACATTATGTGATTGTATTTTTTTGTCCTTTCTTTGTTCACAAGAATTACTAGTCCACAACATGGCCGAGTTGGTATATCTTTAATGTTTGTATGTTTGTGTCATGACATTCCTATATAATACGGGAATGTTGGCATAACTTAAAACAACACAATCTTTTCTTTTTGCTTATCGTTTACTCTCTCTCATTTCCTTTCTACTCTCTCTAGTTTATTAAAAAATCAATTCAAGCCACAAACACAATTCAAGCGACAACACAATTTTTTAGCATTTGCTTATCGTTCTCTTCTTGTTCGTCCTCATCGAAATTATAAACATTTTATAAACTTCTTCTTTACTTATTATTATGGCTTTCTCGTCAAACAATTTTCATTATCATTATAACTCTAATAATGATGATGATTTTGACAAATATTATCAAGACCTATTTGATAATCAAGTTGATGCGACATTGGAAGATATACCGCCGGAAAGAAAAAAACGGACGTATATCGAAAGAAATCGGGAAGAAGGCCACGAACGTTTGTGTAACGATTATTTTTCTGATAATCCTACTTACCCGGATACGTTATTTCGAAGACGGTTTCGAATGAACAAACCATTGTTCCTCCGTATTGTCAATCGTCTCTCAGAAGAAGTTGAATATATTCAACCAAAAAAAGATGCAACATTCCGAAATGGTATATCACCCCTCCAAAAATGTACTTCAGAAATTCGACTTTTAGCATACGGGGGTGGGGAAGACACTGTTGACGAATATATACGTCTTGGTCAAACCACGGCTCGTAAGTGTATGGAAAATTTTGTCATGGGAATTGTTGACTTGTTTGGCAATGAATACCTAAGGCGGCCTACATAAATAGATCTCGAAAGTCTACTTTATATTGGAGAACAACGAGGTTTTCCAGGGATGGTTGGGAGCATTGATTGTATGCATTGGGGGTGGAAAAATTGTCCAACCGCATGGAAAAGTATGTATTCTCGAGGAACCGGAAAGCCAACTATTGTTTTGGAGGCGGTTGATTCACAAGATCTCTGGATATGGCACGCGTTTTTTGGAGCACCAGTTACTTGTAATGATTTAAATGTTCTTGATCAATCACTGGTATTTAATGACATTATACAAGGTCAAGCCCCTTAAGCAAACTACTATGTCAATGGAAGGGAGTATAACATGACTTACTATCTTACGGATGATATTTATCCCAACTGGGCGACATTTATTCAATCCATCCGACTACCACAAACCCTGAAACATTATTTGTTTGCAAAACGTCAAGAATCTGCACGGAAAGATGTTGAGCGTGCATTTGGAGTCCTTCAAGCAAGGTTCGCCATGGTTAAGAATCCATGTCTTCTATGGGAAAAAGGAAAAATCGCTTATATTATCAGAGCATGTCTCATACTTCATAATATGATTGTTGAATATGAACGACATTTATATACTCTCTTTGACGACCAAGAATTCGTAGAAGATGCCCCGGATATAACGTTTTCGAACAATATGGCTACAAATCTCGAGGGTATAGGTGATCGTCGCAGAAGAATACGTGATAAACAAGCACATCACCAATTAAAAGAGGATCTGATTGAGATTATATGAACGAAATTTGGACATCTTCCAAATGATTAAAAACGTTTATAAGTTTATAATTTCTATTTTTGTATCTTGTTAAGTTTATGTTTTTAATTTATTTTTTTAATTTTTAAGTTTGTATCTTTGATGTTTCTAATTTGTATCTTTTTTTTTAGTTTTCTTTTTTATAATTATAAAATTAATTAATAAAATTATTAATATGTTTTACATTATTTTATTCTTATAAATTTAAAAACCTACAGGTTCAACCAATAACTATCACATTTTGTTAGGTTCTTAAAATTAACTACTACATTATTAATATACTAGGTAATGTCCCGCGCATATGCGCGGGTTGTTGTATATTTATTTAATTATTTTAATTTATTTATTACTTATAAAAATAGATTAAATAAATTTTAATGTTTATGACATTTTTACATTTTATTTATTTAAATCATACAATAGAAGCATACACACTCCATATCTTTTGAATTTATTCGTTGAGTAATTGTTCAATTTTGATAGTAATTTTCTTTAGTACATTTAAGTATTTTTTGATAAAACAATAATATTGTTAATGATAAAAATAGGAATGATATTGGGAGAATTAAAAAAATACCCTTTTAAAAATACCAGTTTTTAAATTTACCCCCTTTTCAAACTTTATCAAAACAACCAATAAAAATGTTAAATTTCGTTGTACAAGATAAAATGTCTACAAAAATATTTAAGGCTTTAATTTTTTTTTAAAAATAAAAATAAATAAATGTTTATAACAATCATTCAATACAAAATTTAATTACAATAAAGTTATAATCAAATGGCAAAGAAAATGAAAGGACTTAATCATATATCATTCAACAAAATAAATAAATAAATAAATGTTTATGACAATCATTCAATACAAAATTTAATTAAACTATAAGTTATAATCAAATGGCAAAGAAAATGAAAGAACTTAATCATATATCATACAACAAATTTTATAAGCCTTATTGGTGGAAAATTATTTAAAATCATATATATATAAGTAAGGTTCCACTCTCTTTATTGTTCCATTTTGTATTTATTTTTTAAAATATAATATTTATTTTTAACCAAAAAACACATTTAATCATATACATTAATTCATACTTTAAATTCACACTTTATTACTAAAATGAAACTGAAAATTATATAAATTTCCAAAGACTATTGGTTTTATTTATTGAATTTCAATTAAACACAGTATAAATTATAATATCATTTAAAATTCTTGCATGAGGTGAAAACTCATTTAAAATATCATTGTAAGAGTTTGATTAATTATTTAGTTTAAACTTTTGTTTTCAATTTTATCTATTTTTGTTTTTATGTATTTCTTTATGTCTTCATTATTTTTTATATTTTTAAATGTAATACATACGTATAATAATATTTTATGGTTATAAGAAAATCAAGCTAAAGAAACCATCTTCATTCTTTTACTTTGGATGTTTGTTTGTTTCTCACATATTCATGTATATTTAATTTATTTTCAAAAGTATGTAATTTTTTAACAAAATAAACTTTTTGTTATATAATTATCAAACCAATTTGTAAGACATTCTTTTAAGAATAATGATCCTTATTATTAGTTTGTGATTCAACATGTAATAACACAAAGAACATTATAATTTGTTTTAACTTTGAATTTTATACTTGATTTCCTATCTAAAAAACAATTTGATATTCCATTTTCTATCTATTATATATACTACAAGGATTAAAAATATAATTAAACCTAGAAATATAACTTAAATTAAGAAGAATATAAAAAGAGATTAAAAATAAAATTATTTCTTGGAAATTTTTAAGGTTTCACTCTCTCCTTATTGGTCCATTTAGCATTTATTTTTTAATTATAATATTTATTTTTAATTAAACCAAATATCTAACACATTTAGTCATATACTTTAATTCATATTTGAAATCCACATTTGACTATTAAATTGTAACTTAAATTACATAACCTTTCAATTGACTATTTGTTTCCTCCATTTAACTTCAATTAACACACTATAAAATATAATTATAACTCATCTGACTTAATTATTTTAGAATTGTAACTTACATCATATTTTATACTATAAATACTCATTTTTACATCCTCCTCCACCATATAT